TTTTAATTAATAATTTACTTAAACAGAATTTAAATTAATATCTATTTATATAACTAGAAGGTTTTACAAAACCTAACCAATGGACTAACTAATAGACTAGTTTCACAATACTTAACCAATAAACTAACTAATAGACTGGTTCTACAAAACCTAACCCAATGGACTAACTAATAGACTACTTTCTTCAATTAAAAATCCAGATTTTAAAAGTTGTTTTATAATTAACTGTGAATATGTTTTCAGTAAAAAATCGAATCATCAGCCAATCAGAAATCATAACTGTGAATATGTTTTCAGTAAAAAATCGAATAGTTTAGTTATTAGTCAATCAGAAATTGTAACTGTGAATATGTTTTCAGTAAAAAATCGAATAGTTTGGTCATCAGTCAATCAGAAATTGTAACTGCGAATATGTTTTTGGTAAAAAATCAAATAGTTTGGTCATCAGTCAATCAGAAATTGTAACTGTGAATATGTTTTTAGTAAAAAATCGAATAGTTTGATTATCAAAATGAAACTTCAATCGACTCAGATTTTTTACAAAAATAATTCAGATTTTTTGAAAAAGAAGTTTGATATTACTTGATATGATTGGATGAAACTCCAATCAACTCAGATTTTTTGCAAAAGTAATTTAGATTTTCGCAAAAGAAGTTTGATATTACTTGATATGCTTGGATAAAACTCCAATCAACTCAGATTTTTTGCAAAAGTGATTCAGATTTTTCGCAAAAGAAGTTTAATATTACTTGATATGATTAGATAAAACTCTAATCAACTCAGATTTTTTGCAAAAGTGATTCAGATTTTTCGCAAAAGAAGTTTGATATTACTTGATATGATTGGATGAAACTCCAATCAACTCAGATTTTTTGCAAAAGTGATTTAGATTTTTTGCAAAAGAAGTTTGATATTACCTGATATGATTGGATAAAACTCCAAGCAACTCGGATTTTTTACAAAAGTAATTCAGATTTTTCACAAAAGAAGTTTGGATGATATTAATAAGTATTTATTTATTATTATTTAAAAAAAAATTTATATTTGCCAGAAATATTAATAGAATTATTGATACTAATATTAATATTACTATTTTTATCTAATTCAATATTATCGATTATATTAATAATTTTTTTCTGTTTTTGTTTTTTAGTAGAATTCTTGATTTCTTCATATTTTTTTTTCAATAGTATTAAAGCTTGGCCAGTTTCAATAATTTCTTCAATTTCATTAATAGTATTATTATTGACTTCATCTTGAACAGTTATATGATATTTATTACCAATATATAGTAAATTTTTTGAATGTTATTTTGAGTAGTGATAATATTTAGTTTTTCTTTTTCTTTTCTTTGAATATGATTAATTTCTTTAATGTTTTCAAATCTCTCTTTTTGTTTTTCCAAAATTTTCTGATAATCAGTTTTATGATATTGTGCAAAATGCTTTTTCAAATTAGTCACTGATACTTTAATTTCATAAAAAGCATTACAAATATCACATTTAAGTTTGGTATTTTCAATATTAGAATAAAAATAATTTCGAATTTTATGAGTGTTTCTCATTTTGAGTTAGTGATTAATTTTTTTAATGATCCTTTTTTATAATTAATTTATAATATCAAATTTGGAATATGTAATCGATTTTATTTCTTAATCGTTACAGAATACCAATTTATTTTTACAAATCAGTATATTTACCAATTAGAATTAAACAATTTTAATAATTTCTATATCAGAAATTACAGATTTGGTTATATTATTTGATATAATCGAATTTCCAAATCAGATTTACTGATTTAGAAACAATATTCAAATTTTGATATAAAGAAATTTCTAATTAATAATTATTTAAAAAGGAAACATAAGAAACCAATTGAAATTATAAATAATATTTTAAGGTTTGATGTTCAAATTCTTGTGACCAATTTTTATACTTAAAAGAAAATTAATTATTGATAGATAACTAATCCAAATCTATAAAATTACTAATTCAGATTCCTGTTTAGTACAAATTACTGATGGAAAAACTAAATTTCAAATCAGAAATATATGAATTTAGCATTCATATTAATTGATTAATGTCTATGAAATAAAATTAAAAAACTTAGTTTTTTTTTCTTCTTCTCCAAACATCTATAAAAGACTAAAAAATTCACTCTACTTGGACTTCAGAATCATAATAATTCACCTAAATATCACTAAGTTCAGCTTCAGATATTCAAAAGTAATTAAAAAATAATTACTTTAAAAATGAATAGAGACATAATCACATATTTTAAACATTTCTCTTCAATAAAATACAAAATCTTGAGTAAATCATTCATAATTCAAAATAGTATGTCTTAGCACAACATCAATTTTGATTAATCTTATGTTCATATCTACAAGCAATATAAACCAAAAGAAAAATTTAATCTTCTTGAACATGTGATAGAAGTAAAATTAAAAGATTATTTTATTTGCAAATGTAAAAAGAAACATAAATTTTATAAACATCTTTGGCAATATGATTCTCGTGATCATAAAAATAATTATTGTCCTTTTAGAATGCGAAGTAATTATTTTAAGCTTCTTCAGAGTGTTAACAAAAATTTAGAGTATTCAGAAAAGTTGGTTTATGTTAATTCTAAAGGATCATTAATACGAATGAAAAAGTTATTATCTAGGTATAAACCAAATTATGAGATTTGGTTTTGGATCAAAAGTTTTGATCATATAGGTATACAAATTTGCAAGAATAAAATAAAATTATTAAATGAATTCAAAAAATATATTAATAGAAAAAAGATTAAAAATAAACAAGATAAAAATAATTTTAAAAGCAAAAAACAATCAAAAGAAAAAAATACTAAGAAAGTAAACAAGGAGAAAATAATTTTGAAAGTGAAAAATCAGAGAAAGAAATTGCTGCTGAGATTATAACTTCGATCAATTCTTGATTACAAATATTTGAAGAATATAAACTTCAATCTCCCAAGTATACTCCTGAATCTCCTATATATATTTTTCAATTATCATCTACTCAGTCTAGAACCAAGTAGATTTTTTCTTATATAACTTTAATTTAATCATTGTAATATCCAAAATGTATTAATCAATTAATTCTATTTTTATTAAACTTTTCGAATTATTTTTAAAATATTTTATTGATTTTATTAAATCAAATCAACATTTAATTGAAAACACAAGACAAAATTCATCAGTTCTATATGATCATTCTACAACAGTTATCGAAAACACAACACAATGCCTGTCAGTTCTATCATTTAATCATTCTTCAATGGAAATTCTATCTTTTTATGATATTTTTATTAAAAAGTTAAATGAACTTGATTCTGTAAAAACATTCACTAATTACAAATATCCTCTTAATAGAGGAGCATGTTGGAATTGTGAAAGAATAGGTTTTTCTTATACTTGTTGTGTAGCTTGTAAACAAAAATTTGAACAGTGTGATTGTAAGTTTATTTGTGAACTTATATATCTAACACAATATAATAAATGTGGACATCCATGTCAATTTGCAAAATGTAGATACTTTACAAATGATTTGAATAATGTTATTCATCAATGTAAAGGCAAGGTAGTTAAAAATGAAGTTTTTTATTTATAAATTAAAAAGATACACAACTTTTCAATCATAATAAACCTATTAATCAAATGTATTGTTTAAAATATGATTCATATAATTATATTCCTTCTTATTGTTCTCAAACTTATCATCATTATTTGGATTGATATCTTGTAAAAATTTATTTTATTATTTAATAAATACTTCTAACTAGTACATTAGTACCAGTTAGAATTTTAATTATATAATTCTTATTTATCTAACTAATTCTAAAGAAATTAAATTATGTAAATAGATATTTGAGTACTTTAAGTCAAATATCAGTTTACTAAAGATTATTTCAATATACAAAATTATTATTATGATTTCTTTCTAAACAAAACAAGTCAAACAAAAAACTTTCATTTGAATAATTTTGATTATTTGAAAGCACAAGAATTTTGTGATAAATACATTTCTTTGTTTAATCTATTACTTTTATTTTATCCAAAATTTATTACAAACATGTATCAGTTAGAAACATTGTTCTGGATTTCTGTTGAGACATAGAATTTTTTACAACCTGTTGCTCTCACTAATTCTGTTAAACCACTATTAGAAATTCTTTTAGAAGAAGATAAAGATGATTAATATAATTAAGTTGTATAACCAATACTATAAGGATTTAAAGGAATTAGAAAAACAACATTTCGAATTGGAGAGTTTTCCATGTGCTGTTGCTTAAAAATTTCATAATACTTACAAATGTTTATTTAACCAATTTCTATCATATTATTTTTACAATTTTACTAAGATTGATTCTGAAATAAAAATTGATAATTTGTTTACAATTGCCTATCTTGTTAATTTTAAAGTTAAATAAATTCATCTACTTAGTTTTGAAACCAAGTAGATTTTTTTTTACACAATCCTGAAAGATAGAATTACTTCATACATTACTTCAAAGTTTAAACACCAAGAAACTTATTAATATTGCAATTGACAAATATGCAGCAGTTGGAAAAACATCAGTTGGAGAAGCAATTGTGAATCAATATGATTATCAGTTTATTGATTCTGGGTTATTTTATCAATATGTTAGTCATTATTATAATAATTACTCAATTGACCAAATCAAGCAAATCTTCAATGAAGAACAGGTATTAGAACTGATTAATTCTATAAAACATTTTGATAAAGAACAATATCGAGAATCAGGAATTAGAGCAGCTCAGATATCAACAAATGACAAATTACATAATATTATAAATGAAACAATTAGAAAAATAGTCAAGAATAAAGGATTTGTTGTAGTTGAATATAATATCACTATACTCTGTTTACCTGATGCTGAAGTAAAAATAATTTTATCAGCAGATGTAGAAACTCATATAGCTCGACGTTCTTACCAAACAAATTCAAAAAATTATACTAATATTTTCAACAATATTTTAGAATGAGATGTATTATCTCAACCACCAATTAAACAAGCATATAATGTCTTATATAAGATTGATACAACCAAATTAACATTATCTGAAGTTGTTGATATGATTTTAATTCAAGTTTTTAAAAAGATAC